CACAGACATTAGTGTATGAGAACCCTGGTGCTGTATTTTCATCTGACAAATGATCATTATTATTAGCCCTTTCTTGTGGTTAAGTCAAAAGTAAAGTTGTTTTGTTCTTGAAAGTCTTTCACAGTAAAACTTTGTTCAATTTAAAAGAGAGGAGTTGGTTGCTGTGAAGTGTGATTTTCTGGAGATTCTAGAAAGCACATAATGAGTCTGAATTTGACTTCAAACAAAATAGGTAAAACTCAATTAACAGGCACAAAAAATCCTGGAGCCAGAAATAACCCTTTGCATTCAAAAGGGAGAGGATTATGTGGAGTTTGTAGAGTCTGTAGCTTTACATCTGTAACAGATGTGGTCATATTACCACATGGTTTTCTTCAATAGGGAACAGAGAAGTAAGGTTATAAAAGGGAATGGGGCATGGACTTTCTGAATGATCTAGAGGTTAAAAAGACAAATAAACCATGTATCTGATTAGTTTGAATAGCCTAAACAGAGGAAGAATTTTTATGATGAGGAGGAGAAGAGCTACAAGAAATTTGAGGATTGGCATTAAAAATCATACTTGAAGGCCATTCTGACCCAGTGTTTTTAACCTATATTCAGTAAGGTCTGACTCTCATATAAATAAGTGCTTCAGGGAAATTAGAAAGAAGTGTTTTAACATCATTTGGAGATAAGACTGGGGTTAAAGTAAATTATATACTAATAGCCTGTGTTTAGTGAATAAGATAGTGAATGATGGTCTCAGTTTATTTTTTGTATTTGATTCCTTACAAATATTCTTTAGATTTAGTGTATGATAATATTGTTTAACTATTTTGATAAGGAGTCAGAGCACTGATAAAAAATGAAAATAAGCAGAAAAGTCTGTAAAATTATTTAGTATTCCTATCAGTCAGTTGAGACTGGGATAAAATACTTCAGTTTGGAAAGAGATAGAATGGGAGGTACGTAATAGTTTTGGTCTGGGGGTGCCTGGGTGGCTCAGTGGATGAACATCTGCCTTTGGCTCAGGTCATGATCCTGGCGTCCTGGAATTGAGTCCTGCATTGAGCTCCCTGGAGGGAGTCTGCTTCTCCCTCTGCCTATGTTTCTGCCTCTCTCTGTGTGTCTCTTATGAATAAATAAATAAAAATAAAATCTTAAAAAAATAGTTTTGTAGTAACTTTGAAGACCTGCTTGTGGGGATCCCATAGCCAGCGCATGTGGGATGTTCTCTGATTAGACCCTGATTTTGTTTTTTGAGAGGGGCTCACCTCCCAAGTATTCATATGGTCCCCGACTCTACCTCTCGAAAGTATTTCTCCCCCAATAATATCTGGCCACAGCTGAAATAGTATGGTGAATAAGCCTTCCTTGGGGCCATACTTCCTGCTCCTAGATGTTTACAAGACTGAGAGTTGGTTTGTGACTAACTTTCAGAACTCTCTCGAAAACTTAGTAAACTTTATGTAAGTCAGTTCTTTTTGTGGTAGAATTTCCAGGACATTGCCATTTCTTTGCTTTTTCATTCCTGGAAATCTCTCTCCCTCTTTGATTTAGCAGTAGATTACTAGAACTATACCCTTAAATACTCCACAAAAAGAACTGACATTACCCAATTGAAAGGAGTTATTAGATGCTTCATTTTGATTTTTGCATGTAGGAAGTTTATTTGGTTGAAAGGTGTTACTGGGCATTACTCTCTTAAAGCCTGTTGCAATCTCATCTTTTGTTTTTGGGGGATAGATATAGTTGGGCTTTTTTTTTTAAGGCTTGAATTCTGGACTCTCTTCATTCTCTTGCCTTTTATTTGTACACTTTGCCAACTCTTTCTTGTATTACCTTGTCAAATGCAGATAAGAGTATCTAACATACACAACTGACATTCTGATTTCCAATATCTTCTTCTAGAGCTCTTATTGTACCTCCAGGTAACTGCAGGTAATAATTTTACTAAATGTTTTGCCATTCCATAACATAAATCATGTAATGTTATGCAATGACCTATGCCCTGTCATCACATCCTGGTGCCTGACCATTAGTGATCATGCCACTCTTTTAGCTTTTGGTTGTGGTACTCCTGACGACATATCTTGATCAGAGCCAACTTTTTTGAGGATAAAATCGCTCCAATGTAAACTAAATGTGTATGTTTAACTATCAATATCCCCAACAATCTCATTTTATTATCGTATTGATTAATATATGTATATTTACTTTCTTTCCCTAACTAGATTTTTTTCAGGATTTTATTTATTTATTCATGAGACACACACACACACACACACACACACAGAGGCAGAGACATAGGCAGAGGGGGAATAAGGCTCCGCGTGGGGAACCTAATGCGGGACTCAATCCCAGGACCCCAGGATCATACCCTGAGCCGAAGGCAGTTGCTCAACCACTGAGCCACACAAGCGTCCCCGCAACTAGATTTTAAACTCAATAAGGTAGAGACAGTCTATTTCCTCCAACAGTAGCCCCAACAAACATGTAGCATGGCTTCTGTCACATGGTAGGGCATAAAAAGCCTTGCTAGTTTGGATGTTTGACCAGCTATAATATTTTACCACACGTGAGTCTGTAACTCATTTTTGGAACTATGACATCTTTTGCTGTCTCCTTCTGTGGGTTCTTAGACTTGTGTGTAGAGTGTCCTGGTGGTCAGTGAGTTAAATAACAGTTCCACTTGTATCATTGAAACTCTAAAGGTGGTAACAGCTTTGGTCATGGGTGGTACAGGGATAGTCAGTGAAGGGGTTCCACCATAACCAGCTGTGTGTTAATCATATATTCATTATTGTGTCCCTAGTATTAGCACATAATTTGCAGTGTAAGAAGTAATTAGTAAATATTAGATGAGATAATGTTCTGGATCTGTTGATTAAGTTTGAACTTGGGGATAGATGGTTACTAGTTTGACATCTTGATGAGTTACTTGTTTTTACCTTAATGAGGGAAAACTTTGCAACTTCTTGGGTATAAAAGGTCAGTTTCCTTCTTACATAAAGGGCCATTTAATTCTCTGCAATGCAGCAAATCCTCTTGTGTTGAATCAGGGACTTTTAAAAGATTTTATTTATTTATTTATTTACTGAGAGAGAGAGAGAGAGAGAGAGAGAGAAGGAAAGGGGTAGAGGGAAAGAGAATTTCAAGCAGACTTCCTACTGAGCTCAGAGCCTGTCTTGGGGCTCAATCTCTGGACCCTGAGATCATGACCTGAACTAATATCAAGAGTCAGATGCTCAGCTGACTAAGCTACCCAGGTGCTCCAAATTAGACATTTTTAATTCACAGTGACTTACTTGTTCCTTCTTTCAAGAGAGCTAATGTAGTCTTCTATGTATTGAGATACGGCTCTGCATACAGAGGAGACCACCAAAGAAAGTGAGTCACTCAATACACTCAATTTAATATGCTCTTAAGGGTCTATTGCATATATTGCTTTGGTAGCATGACTGATAATTAGCTATTTTGAAAACATGGCTCTTGATTTCTAGCTTCTCTGAGTATATGGGAGGGCCTTGGAAATTCTCTATATAGTGGGCTTAGGGACTGCAATCTGCTGGAAGGGGCTGTCTAGGGGACTCATCTTGAATCTATATATGCATAGAAAATGCACTGTTTTAATTTAGGTCTTAGACTTGGGGATGTATATTTAGAGAAGGAGGCTGGTAGAGATCATTGAGAAGGAGAAACTGAAGTTACCCTAAGTCCATGAAGATCTCAGAAAACCATTCTAAAATATATACACAAGTAGGAGAGAGACTAAATATGAGCACCGAAGTAACAAGGAAGGGAAAGATACCTGAGGGGATAATTCAAGGAAACATTCTTTGGGAGTTAAACTTCTCATTGATCCAGAGGAGAGGTGCAGAAGAATGAATCTACAGGTATGGGAAGGAGAAGTATGGATTAAAAGATGAAATATGGATAGAAGAATTTCTATCAGTATTAGAGGGGCTTCCAGTCAACCCAAGAACTACTGCCTTTTCATTGCCTTCATTTAAAGAAAATGGAGGAAAGTTGTTCAAACATGTTGTAATAGAGGAAAATGACTTACCCTGCTAGAATGTACCCTGCCTTTTAAAAAGAGCATGTGCAATTTTCCCTGATCTTACTGGGGATTAAAAAAAAAAGGTAAATTACTGTTATTTCAGAAATATCTATGTATCCCTAGAATACATATACGAGACATAGAGTATGTGCATAATAAATGTTTGTTGACTTAAACAGAACTGAGAAAAATTAACTTTCTGTAGGTCATTTAAAATTATGTTAGAGCATTTAAAAGTTCCATTTGCTAATTCATTTTTGTTAAAAAAAATCTTCAATCAGAGAGGGCCAAGATAATGGTCATTTATGTTTTATGAAAATGATTATTTATTAAGCATCAGCAGGATTTTAAGCATGGGTTAAAATAGAATTTGTTCAAGGAGTCTATGAAACTACCTGCAGATATAATTCTGAATCTCTTACTGATGTCATGAATTTCTTTGGATTTGTTTTCCCATTCATAAAATGGAGCCAAATATAGTCCTCTCATTTAATACCAAGGACCCTCTAAGGATGACATATCTCCCACTTAAGTCATGGTTCATATTGCATGGCTGGAAAGTAGAACATACGGTATGTGACGAGAGTCATTAGCCATTTGTGGAAGAATGTGAAAGATCATTACAGCAATTTGTAATTTGGTTAATCTCTGTAGTAAATTAGTTAAGAATTTTGCTGTAATATGAGGGCAGTGGGGGTGGAAGAAAAGGACCAAATCTTCCTTTGGTCCCTCTCTGATTCCCCTTCAGGAAGTGGAATAGAAAAAAAAACCAACTACATTCGTCAGTAACTCTGGGGTAACCACAACTTAGACAGTAAGCAGGTCAATCGAAATAAGGACAGTGATTGCTATAAAACCATCAGGTACTCCAATTGACACAGCACAAGCATATACAGCTTGACACACACACACAGGAAGAATTTACTAACACAAAGCAGACAACCAGAGCAAAATGACAATGGCCATCCTGCGCAACACAGCTATGGTGAGTAAAAATTGTTCCTGTTTAGTAGCAGTCATCCCTAGGATTTTAAGAGAGCAGATTTCTAAGGAATTAGGCTTGATTGGCATCTTTTTAAGGATTATTTCTTAAAAACAGAACTAACTTTAATTTTGACCCCTGTCTAGTGGAGAAAAAGAAAAAATAACTAGAAGTTATAATGGGGTACAAAACATAGCTCCTAATATGGTGGCTTTTGCATAGGTAGTTGATAGCTTGTTCACCTCTGGTGTCACAGACGTAATCTCCCCTGTGGCTGAACATGATCTCCCCTAAGGATCATGGTCTGAACATGCTCTTCCCTGTGGCCATCGTTATAGAGTTAGATTAGTCTAAAACTCTTATCTCATAGTGAGGACTTCTAGCCTATCCTAAAATATGTACATATGTATTTTAGCCAAGGAAAGTGGGGCCCCAAAAGTTTTAATGATTCCCCAAGACTACAAGTAGACAAAGAGTGCCCAGGATGAAGGAAGTAAAATCACTCAAAGCTGAACTTTGGTTAGCTCCCAGAGGAGGGAAATTTGCTGTGTCTCAGCTGATTATTTTGTCTTAGTCCTCATGGAGGAGAGAGGGATGTTAATATGATGGAAATCTACCTCTCCTGGGTCTAGAACCTTGCCTGGCATTAGGTAAAGCCTGGGAAGAATCTAATTTAGAGGAATTTGAAAACACGGTTTGGGAGGGTACCTGGGTGGCTCCACCAGACGGGGGGTCTGCAAAATATAAAAAGGAGGTCCTTTAAATAGACATGTCTAATTACCTCCCCTCCCCTCCCTTAACCTGTAAAAAGTATGAGCCTGAGCAACATTAAGCCCAGAGAATGAAAGCAACTTACTTTCAGCTCTTGTTCTGCATTACGTTGAGAGTGGGTGATGGGCTTTATCTGTCTCCAGTAAGAGTTGGTAGTGATGGTGGGGTGAGTAGAATGTGGTTTTGACAAAGGGAAACTGGGGAGATTTTTAGCTCTTCTTTTAGTTAGGTCTTCACAGAGCACTTTCTTTGTGCATTACTGTAACATCAGATAGACCAATATTTTGATGTAAGTATAAAGAATATATGTTCCAGAGCTAAAGACAAAGAGTTTCCATATTTTTTGTGGTTGTACATAATTAGTGGCCCTGCTTCTTTCAATTAGCATGGATAATTGGAACTTTGCTGTAGTTGGTTTTGTGCAGTGTTTTTCTTAATACTTTGAGTTTAACTGTATTGTTCATTCATTCACCCACTCTTCCATTCATCAGAAAGTATTTGTAGAACATCTGTTCTATGATACATTCTCCTGCAGGAACTTACAATCCAGTAGGTGTCTGTCTGACCTAAACACAAATAGTACCTTTCCAGACAATAAAGAAATGGCACTTGAATGCTCTGGCCTTCAATGCTAGATGGCAAGTGCTTTATGATTCAAGGAAAATGAACATATTCCTAATTGAATGACTTTAGAGGCAGTTCCTGGAGAAGACCACTTCTGAGTGGGGCCTTGATGGAAGGGTAGAATTTGGATAGGTAGAGGTGGGGCAGTATATTCTAGGTGGACAGATGGCTGGGAGGAAGGATTTTGTGGGAAATTAATGAAATACGAAGCTGTGAATAAAAACAAGAACTATCATTAATCTCTTATTTTTATTAGATACATTTATTGGTGATTTACATAGAATATCCCACTTAATCTTGTGAATATTATTATAAAGCAAGTATTATAATCCAGTTGGAAAGAAGACAAATCCAGAGGTTCTGGGATGAGACCAAGTCAAGATTAAACCCAGTCCTAGATCCTGATACATTTCTATCCCACTGTTGAGGAGCTTTCAGACTGTTGGAGGCTCAGTTACCAGGCTAATGAATTTACAACTCAGAGAGGCACTCTAGTACCTTCCAGTATGACTGTTCCCATTTCCAGGTGAGGACCTGAGAGAGCCATGGTCCCATAAAAGACTGAGGATCCTGAGTTCAACTAGAACATGGGGTGCCTCTTGCCAGGAAATAACACCAGGGTCTCTAACCAACTCAACCGTTTCCATTTTCCAGGCCAAATCCCTGCTACTGTTGGTGTTGGGGCTCACCCTTTTGAGTGAGGTGGCAGCTCGGAAACATCTAAAGGCAGGGGAAACTGCTCTGTGCCCTCCTCTGGAGGATAATAGTGTGAGGGTTGACATTCGCATCCTCAGGCAAAACCGGGGTATTTCCATCTCAAATGATTTCCAGAATCGCTCCAGCTCCCCCTGGGACTACAAGTAAGTGTTAATGAGACTGATCTTCACATTCTTTTGAAAAAATATGTTAACTTATTCTAATCATAAAGTAGAAAATTTAGAAAATGTAGAAAAAAATAAAAGCCCCAAGATTAACTCTTAAATACAGGAATCTCACTTTGCCTGGGAGCTCATAATTCTTTCCTGCTGTTTTGGGTGAGGTCCTCCTATGTGGTCAGAGGTACTGCTATTTTGCTTCCAATTTCTCATTGACTCAAATGCCTTTTCCTGCTTCATGAATTCCCAGGTTGGAATTTACAAACTTTCTGTGTTGGGAGAAGGAGCTCTTTAAAGCAGCCCACATAATGATCTTTGCATGGGGATATGTGGGAAGCAGAAAAGTCAGTGTGGAATGATCCAGTCAGATTAGAAATCAGTCTTCAAGGAATGGGGAGCAGGGAAGAGTGGACAAGAAAGGCCAGTCTGGGAAAGGGGATGGGAGATGGGGATGAGATATTTGGAGTACTCTCCGGTGATATCATCTGATGTGTCAGATCTTAGAATACCAAGCACTCATCTATATGCTCCAAATAGAGGCACAAAAACAGATTCCAGGGATAATTAGAAGTGCTTCTGGGGATGCCTGCATGACTTCCTCCAGGAAGGAAGTGTGTATGGTGGCAAGTTGGCTGGTGAGGCTTTGCTCCCTTCGTGACTCTTGGTAGAGAGGGCTAAGAAGGGAGAAACCTAGAGAATGTGCTGGATTCACAGGACCTCTGGGGCTTTGTTTTTCCTTTCCAAACAACAGGCTTTGCAGACTGTATTAGGAGACCCACTCATATTGTCCATAAATCTACGCAAAGGATGAATAATAATTATAATAATAACAGTGTAATGAAAAATGAAAGATCTGCCATTTATTGAATGCCAACATGTAGTGTTTCGTGTGCATTCACATCATTGAATATTGTCAATAGTCAGATGAAAGAGACCTGTGAGAATCCCCATTCTAGAGTGGAGGAAACAGGCTTAGGCAGTTAAGCACCTGCTGGAGGGCAGTCATGAATCCAGGCCATCTGGCTGCAGCCCTGGGTTGCTCGGAAATGCCTCCCTGCAAGCGAGTGCCCAGTGCTGTGGGGCACTCCTGTCCATCTCTCTCTCCCTTGTCTCACCATCTGCTTTTGTCTGCTCCCCCTGCAGCATTACGCGCGACCCCCACCGGTTCCCCTCAGAGATTGCGGAGGCCCAGTGCAGGCACTCTGGCTGCATCAATGCCGAAGGGCAGGAAGACATCTCCATGAATTCGGTTCCCATCCAGCAGGAGTTCCTGGTCCTGCGGAGGGAGCCCCAGGGCTGCTCTCGCTCCTTTCGCCTGGAGAAAGTGCTGGTGACTGTAGGCTGCACCTGTGTCACCCCCATCGTCCGCTATGTGCGTGCCTGAACGTCAGCTTGGCTGAGGAAGCCCTGAAATGCCCCTCCTTACCCAGCGCTCTGCAGCAAGTCCAGTGTGGTCCCAATTCTCTCCCCTTCATAGGCTTCTTGGTAAGACCTGCCTGGAATTCTCAAAGCTCTGTATTAGATATAGTGTTAGCTTCTGAATCATAACGTAGTCCTGAGCTGTTCCATTGTCCCAACCCCTTGAAAATGAATGGAGGAGAATGAAGACACCCATGCCCTCTCTGTGGGCAGTGATAACTACTGCTTAGTGTAGCAGTCACTGTGATACGGGGCCATCTCCTGGGAATTCTGTTGGGAAAATGGGGCTCTGTATTCTGTGTGGATGAAATGTAGAAATGTAACCACAATATGGGTATGTGGGAGGGCCTGTGCAGGGTGGGGTGGGAAGGATGGGGATAAGGATCTAGTACACATGTTTATTCAGAGTTGCTAAGTAAAGAGGTTGGCCTGATAACTATAACTCATATTTGTAAGGAAACTGTCCATCTATTTATGATATATTGTTATATAAAATTTTAGGAGAAAAATTAATATATCAAGTACTAATATAATAAAGTATTAATGATTGAAAAATTCTTCAGGTGTTTGTTTCTTGTCTTGGCTTGTATTCACAGAGCTCATACTGCTCAAGATTTTGAAATTCTAAACTTGTCTTTTGTTTTTCATATTTTCTCATCAATTCCTTATCAGAGGACTACTGTTAGAATTGTCTTATTATTATAAATATTATATTATTATTATTAGTAGTAGTAGTATTGTGTGTATGTGTGTGTGTGTATAGTGAGAACATTTAAGATCCACTCTCAGCAAATTTCAAGTATACAATACAGTATTGATAACTATAGTCACTATATACACTAAATCCCAGAACTTATTCATCTTACAAATAAGTTTGTACCTTTCGACCAACATCTTCCCATTTCTCCACCCCCACCCCCCAGCTTCTGGCAACTACCATTCTACTCTGTTTCTGAGATGGAGAATGATTTTATTATTAATAGTACTTGGGGGCTACATGGAGAATTAAGGAAAATGGTGTAAGCAGAACTCAGTTTCCCTGGTAACTCTTTACTGCTCCATGTTCCTGGCTACATTATTTTACAAAGTGAACATTTATTGGCCACTGAGCTAGCCACTGGAGATATAGAGACAAGTAAGAAATGCATATGGAAGAACCACAGTGTTGGGACTGGCCATCCACAGAGCTCCGGGTCACTGGGGCCATGCAATCTCTTTGTGTTCTCCTCATTCTGACCTCTGGGACCTTAGGGTTACTAGTTGTCTTTCATTAATATCTTATGCTTCCTGGGGGCAGAGGAGATTCCAGATTCTGGTCTTCGTGACATTCTGGGGAAAATTCAGAGGTTCTCTCATACGACCTTTGCTTCTTTGTGGCACAGCACATTTTCTCCTTATGCTACCGCTGGCTCAGAATACAACTACATTGCCCCTGCTTTTTCAGATCCAAGAGAGGAAGTGGGGCACAAGTTCTCACTCCCACCTGAAACTTGGCTTCAGGATAGGCAGGTGGCAGAAGACTGACACCTATTTTTAACTGGGGTGTGGGCAACTTTATTCTAGTCTAGGTGAGAGTGGGAATAGAGTAGCTGGGTATGCTGGGTCTTCACCTCTTGGCTGCAGAATCTTCTGCTTATAGTAAAAATATTGATATTTGTACTTAAAATATTCAGGCTCTTGAAATCTAAAAAACATTTCCTGTCATAGCATGCATCTTCATAAGTTTGCTATGAATCTCACATGTCCATTTTGGTGCTCAGATCTGTGTAATGAATCCTCCTTTCTCTGTTGATTTTAGCAGTAATTGCCTTATCCTGAGGGTAGCACATATAAAAAGCCTCCGAGTGGTAGAAGTATACAGAGGAAGGAAATTGTAGAGGGAAAAATTACACCTCTGAGTGTATCAAGATATTATCATGTTGGGGCACCTGGGTGGCTAGGTGATTGAGCATCTGCCTTTGGCTCAGGTTGTGATCCTGGGGACCTGGGATCGAGTCCTGCATCAGGCTCCCCACAGGGAGCCTGCTTCTCCCTCTGCCTCTCTCTGTACCTCTCATGAATAAATAAATCTTTTTTAAAAATATATTACCTTGTTACACATGAATGAATATACATATACATACACATATACACATGTCATTTTATTTTTTTTTAAGATTTTGTTTATTCATGAGCTACAGAGAGAGAGAGAGAGAGAGAGACAGAGACATAGGCAGAGGGAGAAGCAAGCTCCATGCAGGGAGCCTGTTGTGGGACTTGATCCCGGGATGCCCTGGACTGAAGGCAGGTGCTAAACTGCTGAGCCACCCAGGGATCCCCCAACACATGTCATTTCAAAACAATGTGCTACATACTATGATCAAGGCATGAAATGTTAGGAAGACACAGAGGATGATAGCTCTCCAGGAAATTTTGGAAAGGAAAAGATTTACACTGAGATGAATATGTGTCAGTCTGGTGGAAAATGGGAGAAATGAATTCATAGCACAGGGAACAGTATAAGCAAATAAAGAGGCATACAGAAGCCTGGCATGTTAGGGGAACAGTGAGTAGTCCCATGTGCCTGGATAGTGTGGACATGGGGACATGGTGTGGAATATGTAATAAATATCTCTTGAAAGAATGATTTAATGAATGAATGTGGAACAGTAGGCAAATGGCCCGCTTATGAATGGTTTCGTGTGCTGTATTACAGATGTGATAAGAGCATAGCTGTATCTTATAGTTTTAGCAGGAGTGAACAAACAGGATCAGAAGCTGAGGCCAGTTAGAAAACCAGAGAGGTGGCAGTTTCTCTCCTGTGGTAGATTCACACGGTTAGAACTGGATGGGCTCCTGCAGATCACCTGGTGGACCTTTTGCATTTGCAGATGAGTCCCGAGGAATTAGGTGACTTGTTCAAGGTCACGTGGAGTAGTCAGTGGCAGAAAGGAACTCAATGACTCCAAGTTCATGACTTTTTATGTTGGATTTGCAGTACTCGATCATGTTTCCAGTAAATATCCGTGATTTTTCTGTGTGGCCTAGGGCTGGCTCTGGGAGTGGGTGCAGAAGTACCTCCACATCTCACACTTCCAAGTATGTTGCACACAGTGCCCCCTGGGGTCTGAGGCCTGCCTTACAGCTACTCTGAGGGCTGGATGTCATTCAGGAAATTGCACATTGTCTCCAGCTCACAAGGTGGCACAACACACCCATAGGATGGCTTCCTTTGTGGGGCAGAAATCTGTCTCTGGTAGCCAGTTGAGGCACTGCTGAGACAGATTGAACAGCCTGTGTTCTTCAGGCTGAGCCTCGCTTTGTTTTGAATGCAGGAGAAAAGGTCTATGTTGAGCAGTCTAGATGTTCTAGAATGCTGCATTGCCATCATAATGTGCAGAGAGAGGAACTTCTCTTTCACATGGAACTTGAAAGCATATAGTCTTTTCTTTCGATATCCAGTTCTTATTTATGACATCTTGGCTGAGGGGAAATATGTATTCTCTCTGTCTGTCCTTCCCTTGCCCTCCCTCCCCTACTCCCACATCCAGACAAAAATCACCTATGTTTGTAATGCTCCAGGGGCGAAATTTAACTGGTAATTTACAGTGAGGAAAATGGTCACAAAATTGGTTTTCTATTCATTCGTTCATTCGTTCATTCATTCATTCATTCATTCATTCATGAGAGACACAGAGAGAGAAAGGCAGAGACACAGGCAGAGGGAGAAGCAGGCCCCATGCAGGGAGCCTGACATGGGACTCGATCCCGGGTCTCCAGGATCACGTCCTGGGCTGAAGGCGGTGCTAAACCACTGAGCCACCCAAGCTTCCCTGGTTTTCTATTTTTTTCTTTTTTATAGAAAAAAGTGCATTTAATACTTAGCTTTTGGCTTTGAATCCTGATTCTGTGATTTTCTGGTTATATGAATTTAGGCAATTTAGTTCTTCTGAGAATCAGCTTATTCATATGTTAAATGGGGAATAATATCTATTTTAAAGAGTAGAGTGTAGGGATGTCTGGGTGACTCAGTGGTTGAGCATCTGCTTTCAGCTCAGGGTGTGATCTTGGGGTCCTAGGATTGAGTCCCACGTCGGGCTCCCTGCAAGGAACCTGCTTCTCCCTCTGCCTATGTCTCTGCCTCTCTCTGTGTATTCCATGGGAAAAAAAAAAAAGAGTAGAGTGTAAAGTAATTGAAATTAAAAAAAAATAAAAGACGGGATCCCTGGGTGGCTCAGTGGTTTGGCGCCTGCCTTCGGCCCAGGGCGTGATCCTGGAGTCCCGGGATCGAGTCCCACATCAGGCTCCCTGCATGGGACCTGCTTCTCCCTCTGCCTGTCTCTGTCTCTCTTTCTTTCATGAATAAATAAATAAATAACCTAAAAAAAAATAAAAAAATAAAAAACTTAATATAGTGCCAAGGAAATAATAGGTTCTTAGTACCTGGTTGTCCTTAGCCCAAGAAGTACAGAACTTATGTTTCCCATTTGCTTGGCCCCAGGAAACTCACAACCAACTCTTTTGCTTAAATACCGCAGCTCTATTATTCCTTGTGGTTATTAAGTTTTTGTTCTTCATTTAATCTCTCTATATACACATATAATTTAAGGTGGTTTAAACAAAAGATCTAGACATTGTTCATATTATTATATAGAACCTTTGTTCAATCCACTTTAAATTAATTTGATAGGAATAGAGGAACCTATAGATTTGAGACATTGAAACAAAATTCCCCTTGGCCCGAAATGTTCATTGTAGTGTACTCCACTGGTATAAATTGGAAGAAAAGCATTTTTTGGTCCAATTAGTCCCAGGAGCTGTACACTTCCCTCAGGGTATGAAACAATACACCATTTCTCCAACACTGAAACATTCTTTTCCACATGCTGTTTGGTGCCACAAGAATCGCTGAGAAAGTGGTAGCTTCTGAACCTTGTTTGTACCTCTCCACGTGTCATAAAGGACTACAAAGACCCAGCCCTTCCT